AGATATATTACAAGTAAGTTCAGCTAGAAATGAAAATAAAAGGTGGGAAAAAAGCTCACCATATGCCAACAAGGCAAGCTCATTGGATGACAGGTAAAAAGGCAAGTGAATGGCTGCACACACTAATAATTCTGTAAGTGTAGGTGAGTTCAACCCCTAAAGACTAAAGGAAAAGGTATCAATCATAGAGAAGAAAAAAATAGCACCAGTAAAAGTCAGGTTATTTCTCCTCCTCTTATTAAACTACAATATCCTTTCTTCTGCTCTGAGACATTAAAACTGTTCCAATTGATCTGTTACCTTCCCCTCTGTACATCTGAACTGATACCTGAACTTTGTAGTAGCACTTGTATCTTATTTCCCTCTTAAACCTCATCTGAAGACATTCAAAATATCAATCACCATTGCAGAAAAAAGCATATGGAACATAAAATGTATGGGAGCATGTGGCATTCAAAGACAGATTCTTACCCTATGACATTTGGAAATCATTCATACAAATCAGCACCTTTTCTGATCTGATTGTTTAGTAAGGAGAGATTTGGTAATGCACAGTCACCTCTAGGTGCTAACCAACCATTCATTATCAGCATTTTCACCAAAGAGTGGGCTGGCCTTGACAGGAAAGTTGTCTGACATTCAAGAGAAGATTTAGAGTGCAACAGCTGCTTTGATTGAGCAGTTGCAATATGGGTATTGATAGAGAAAACTCAGCTTATGGATAAGACATCACAATATAAATAGTCTAAGTAAATACTGTTTGAAGACAATTTAACAGAGTTTGGATTTGACTTACTACACTGTGGCTGTAGAAGAATGCTTTCTGTTATCTCAATATATAGACCCCCCCACACAATATAGAGCTGCAGCCTCCAGGATGAGCAACATTTCTCTTTCTGGAGCTCCTCCATTTTCATGACCTAAAAGGTGTCATAAAATGCCCATATACTATGCACATGAAGTGTCTGGTTATGTTGTCTGTAGAGCAGCATAAGAAGATGCAGCTAGATCCCAAGTTCCTTCACTGGAAAGAACTGTCCATGGAAGAGACTATTTAGGGATGTGCACCTGAAGGACATTTTTGCAGCCTGGTTTCATAGATGTCTCCTTTCTATGGACTTGTCCAACATTAAACACACCTCCCACAAGTCAGGATTCAGTCAGCCCGTTCCAAAGGGATATTAGTAGCTTACTCTAATACATTAGCCAAGGACATTTGGTAGTACGAATGGCTAATATTTGAAGTTGTTCAACATGTTTTCTTCGATTGAAAGCTTTCACGGAAAGTATTTATTTGTGGAAAGAAATCACAACCCTTTTGAGGAAGGCACAGTGGCCAATATATCACAACCATTGTGAGAACTAAAAAATATTCATGGACACATTTTCCTACTATACAGCCCAATGTCATCAGGTTGCTATAGAATATTGTCATTTCACTCTGACTTTTTAAATACTAATCTTATTTTCTAGAGCATAACTCCTTGTTCTTTACAGCTGTCATTGTCAACATTTAAGAGAGGAAAGTACTCTGCAATGTACAGCCATTTAACATCCAATCACAAAGCAGAGATATAAGAAAATTCTGGATCATTTGAGTAGCTTGTAGGGGTAATGTTTTCAGAAACAAGAAACAATTTTCAGATCCTGAACTTAAGGCAAATTTCACTGAGGTGATTTCTCAGCACTTCAATAATTCTGCCTCTTCCCTAGGGAGACATCAAAAAATCAGAGCACTTAAATCACTAGACATAGCTGTAATTCTTGGCATAAGTAAGCCACTGCATTTCTGATTAAAGAGATTTTAAAAAGCAGAATCAAAGTCTCAGGAACTTTCATATATTCCCCAGAAAGCCCATTCTGTTTTCAGCTACTAAAACCTTCTCTACTTCTCAAACTTAACATAAAGACAGTTTCAGACTTTCAACTCACAGTCAATTCTGTCAAAGATATATTTACATTTGAAATCACTTGAGAAGTAGCCCCAGAGACTAATTCAAACTGGATTTTTTCACAACCATATTTTTTTCATTAACAAGATTCAATCCAGGAGCTAGAAACTTTGCATAAGTAGGAATTTAGGATGCACGACAGTGTTAAGGTAAGGCCTACTGGATCCAGTTTTCCTTATAGAAAACTCACAGACAGAAAAATGTGCAGCTCTGAAGAAAGCAGGGTCCTGACTCTTCGACATATTTTCCACATTACCTCCTATTCCCCTTTACTGACCTATTCTCTTTAATTTCTCTTGCCATTTGGTTTTTCCCCTTCTCACTACATGCAGCCCAATAAATCCTTCAGGGAACAACCAGTGTTGTCTGCCATATTAGTTAGTCTTCATCCTGCTTTTGCAAATTGTCCCTTCTCCAGCATTTCATCCATCCTGCTTTTAGGACAGCACTGATACTGCATGACTGTACCAAACACCAAACAAGTGAATATATTCTAGACTGATTCCTTACAGTAATGATATAAAATAGGCTAAAATCATAGAGTCATTACCATGTATTCCTTCACTATTGTCACTTATCCAGCTTGTATGGCAAGAATGGTAAAAGAGGTCTCTTGGAAGTGATGAAATCTGATTTCAGTGTCCTTCACAAACCACAAGGAAGGAGGTTCATGCAAACTTGTACTGACTGAAATAGTTCTTTTGAAAGTATGTCAGTAAAAATAGATTTCATAAATGTGTGTAATAAGACAAAGGTTAATTAGCTGCAACCACTTTTTCTCAAGGTCAAGAGGAGTTACACCTGGGATGATTTTAGCCTAGAATACCCACTTATTGATGTGATTTTTTTTTTAACTTAAGACATCTCACATCACACCACTTTTTACTTGACATTAAGCTGACAGGACTAATGAAAGAAATTATTTTGATAGGTGTCGTAGGGTAACTCTATGATGCTTGTATCATTTGCTTTCCTCCCAAATTTGCCCTAAACCAGGACAACAGGACCCAAACTACTTGAAAATAATACATCTCAGCATTCTATACTGAGTATAACAACTCAAGATTCCTGTAACTCAGGGAAGTGAGACAATATTTTATCTTATTTTTCCTTTGTATTTTCCTCTCTTTCTCCCCAAGTTTATGTAGCTAGCAATATCCTGTGGATTAACAGCCCCATTATTTCCTTCTCATCTCCCCTTTATGGTATCTCAAGCATATACAGCTGGTCATCAAGCATTGTTCCTAAGGATTCCTTCAGAACTTCACATACCAAACCACCAGCTTCTTGTAGTCCTGCAACAGTCCCTGTGCTAAAGCTCCTCCAGAAGCAGGATCCAGAAAACTGCTGACACCTAAAGAAGGCCACTAGCACTGTAAGCCAGGCATTACCAAAACCTTGTCCTGGATTCACTAAGGTTTGCTGCAGCTGAGATGCTTTGAAGAAAAACATTTCATGTTTATCATGTAACCACCTCCATTTGTCATTTTACTTAGAAAATATCCACCTATTTCTTAAAGTAATCTACCAACAAAAGTCTTAATAGCTTAATTAGGACTTCTGCTCCTCCCAAAAACTCTTTGGGGTTTACAGCACCAGTGATCACTTTCAAAACAGTTATGCTCAGAGAACAGGAACCCATTGAGGCAGCTTCGAATTAGATAGTCTTTGGCCTACTTGACTTTATTCAGCTTCTTATTTCAACCCATTAAAGAAGCACTATAGTTTAAAGGCTCATTAGTGTTACAGTAAGAACACTATGACCCATGGTTTGATCAAATGAGGCAGATTTAAAATTCCAAAGGACAGACAAAAAAAAAAGTCTGATCAAGAAAATACAACACTAAAGCAACACATGCAAGGTACTACAAGACACTAAATACCGCCATTCAGAAGCTGTGCATGTCTGGTTAACTGTCTCTTTTTTTAACCCTGATCCTGAAAACAGGAAAGGTGGGACAAAGAAATAAGATCAAATGCTTCACCTTGTTTTCTTGTCTATTTAATACAAAGCAGGTGTTTCAGTGTATCTTTTTAAATTAAAAAATATGCAGAATCACATCTATAAAATGACTGGACAGCCCTTCCACTGAGTGCTTGTTACTTTCTTGCTGATTATGCAAATGAAAGTGAGTCTGTTTGGGGTACAGCATTTGTTCAGATGCTTTGAATCATCTTGTACAATTATTTTCCTGTTTTTATTGCTCTTCTGGCTATATGGGTACCTAATTTGGGTTTACTGGAATTAAGTGCTACGAATATATCCTGCTCACTTCATCCCTTATTCCAATTCCTTTTAACTGTACAGCTACCCCCTGCCAGTCCTTATGCCTATGGTGCAACCAAATAGCTCTGTCTGCTCCAGCCAGTTAAGAAGAATCTCTCTGCAAGGTTCCCATCCTGGGAATAAGTTAGAGACAGTTCCTGTGGCTTTTCAGAAAGCTTCTGAAGGACTACATTCTTGCGTGGAGGAATTAATAGCTCCAAGCTTGTAAAGATTTACATATCTCCACAAAATGTCAGTAAATCTGAAGCAATCATACCAGAGACGATGATTAGCACTGTGCATATTTAACAAAGGGGTAGTGAAATCTGATTTGCATATTTCTGACAAGCACGCAAATTCCCCACCGCTTTCACAACTTAATATCTACACGGTTCATTTTATTTTGATTAAATTTAACACATTTCATTGATGACCTTTAAAGAAATGCTCACTTCCAGACTCTTAAATGCATCATTGATCTGCTACACTTTGTCAGCAAAACAATGATCGTTCCTAAGAAGCCTCTGAAAAGCCACAGTCTTACACAGATCAGTGCACAAAGTTCCCTCTGACATGTGCAATGCAGGGATGCAGAATTTACATAATCAGCCGGTTTGCTGCATACAGCAACAAGGGACATACTCTGCCAGTTCACACCCTCACCAGAGGGTTGCTCTAGTAAAGAGGAAATCGCCACACTGCAATTCAACAGACACGAAGTACATTAGCTGGGTAACAGCTAAGAAAATAAGCAAATGAAGATGTATGTAAGTTATTATTACCTCTGCTCCACAGACAATGGAAATGACCTTTGTTGAAAGGCTGGTTCAGAATCAGAAGGCAAAACTTCAGATTCCCTGTAAGATAAATGTTGGTTCTCATTAGCAAGAATATTGATTTTTTTTGTCCTTTTTTTTATTTTTTTGCCAGACGAATTTTAGTCCAACCATATCAGAGTAACTCCACTAATATCCTTGCTTCTCAGGTTTTACCAATGTCAGACTGAGAAACTGTCAGAACTTCATAAGATATCTTTTACTTGGTAGGATTTTGTTACATGTTTAATTTATAAGTGACTTTTACTTACTGAAGGCCATCCTCAACAGGACCCCACATCTATACAGCTCCCTCATTAAATCTCCCACTTGCTACTGCTGCCTGGGTGCAGCAATTACTGATATGAGCTTACTCTGGTCTCTGTTAATGGGGAAGGCTGGAGGAGACTCCATATAAGATGTCTCTAACTTATACCCAATATTCTACCCTCCTGGAGGATGCAGAACTCTTGCTGCCATTAGTGGCTCTGTGCCTGTGTTTTCATATCACGTAGAAGCTCTAATTGTGGTAGATACTCTACAAATAAAGAATGAAAGGCTGTGACTCAGGAGCTTAAAATCAAAAGCTAGTAAAAGCAAAAGTACTTTAGCCTGTGTTATCTAGGTGATACTGCAGACTAAAAATCTCAGTGATTTACCAGCCCAACTTGATTGAGCTCACAAAGCCTCCTGCCCCTGCAAAACGCGCATTCTGAAGGTCAGTAATAAACCTACAGTTAGAAAAGCCTTAAAAGAAAGGAAGGATGTATGATATGACACACTTTGAATTCAAAGAGTAAATACGTAAATCTTTGATGGCTGCCTGCAGTGGGATTTGCATTATTTCACTTCCTAATTATCTTGCCAATCATATAGGAATACAAGTTTTCCCTGGAGTTTGATATCCTTAGGCAATCAAGTTAATGAATAATCTTTGGTCATGTGAAGCCACTGTAACTGAAAAAAGAAAACCTCTATCACTAAAGTATTTTGAGAAGATCCAGTATAGCAGGAGGCAGAAAGCTACAGTAGAAGCCTGTGGCCTAAGCTTTATCCTGTTATCAAGGAAAATACAGCTGGTCAAACTGCTGAAGTTGAAAGAACACCTAAGGATGGTAATTGGAAGGGGCAGCCTTTAAAATAATTAATTAAATGTGTGATTAGGAGAACAAAGTGAAGGTTAGCAGACTGGGATACCACTATTCTGCATCTGAGACCCATTCGAGGCCTCAGTTTCCTAAAACAGAAGCAATAGTATTGTCCTCCTTCATAAGTATCAAGAGAAACAGAAATGAAGACCTAGATGATTTTCACTCCAGTGAGAAGTCTACATGATTATCATAGCTATCTTCTGCCTGGTGCTTTCAAATACCTTCCCTCAAGCCTTCTGCTTCCATCTTTGCTGACACTGGTCTCACTTCCATTTAATTCATATAGGGGAATAAATTTTCACAGGGAATAAGTGGAGAAGTGGAAAGACCAAATAAACAAAGGAAAGTGAGAAAAAGTTTTTTCTCTGTGTAGTCTGAACAGTTTTGCCTTGTCCTTGAACTTGAAGAGAAAGGTAGAAAACAATACGTTTAAATTAAGTGCCAATTTCCAGCTGCCTCACAAAATGGGACCTCAGCAGCAGATCTCCTAATGATTGTTAAGTGAGAAAGGCTGCTAACTCCTTGTATTAAACATAACCATCTAGTGATGCTCTCCATTGAAAAGAGCAGCAAATATCAAGGTTCTGTTACTGGTATAGTAAGACAAAGCAGGCATGGGTGCTGTAAGCCTATTCTTGCTGGTGAATCACAAAAGGCATTTCTGTGCCTGTTTTAAACGCTTAAGCCATTTCAGCATATGGAAACAGACACAGATTGCAGGGCTTTTTGCACATCAGAAGTACTCTTGTTATATATATTAGGGTACATTTTTGAAGCCAAGGCCTGGCTGTAGGTGTCTACACTGAGATTTCAGAGGCTGATTTTCAGAAATGACACTTTCAAGAGCTTCCAGTGAGGCCCATAAAAGCTGCTGGGTCTTACATGTTCAGTTGTTGCACAGAAGTTAAGAAGTAGATGCCCACAGCACACACAGTTAGGAGATGGTGGGATTATGTCTTTAGGTCTGTTTCTTGTTTGGGTTTTTCAAAGTACAGTTATGGGCTGAAAAAGTACAGAAATGGAAATTATTGCTTCACCTGCTTTTAGAGAAATGAACACTCCAGTCAGTTCAAACCAGTCATTTCATACAATTAAGGCATGATAAAATGCTATGATTAATGCTATGATTAATGCTACCAAAATGAGCCTAAATGTCAATATTTTAATGGTGCCTGCTGAGTTAATATAAAGGTGCACACGAGGCTCAGTCCTAGGTAGACGTAAAACAGTAATAAAATTGGGCTGCAATAATTTACAACCATTGCCCTAAAAACTATTAATAAATTGGGACATCTGATGGCAAAGACCACGTCAACAGACAGAATATGCAACATTCATCACTGTGAGAAAAACTGAGGAGAGCTCACTGTGCCACTGCTCTGAACACTCTACTGGCTATTCATTTGAAAACAAATCTACTTCAAGGCCATTTATCTTTAAAAGCACTCAACAAATTAGGACACATCTATCTCCTGGACTGTCTACCCATCTATTTTTCACAAAGATAATTAGCACCCTGACCCAACTCTTACTGACATTGTGCTCTGTTTGGACTAATGGGAAAGAGGTTTCTGTAAGCAAGAAATCACCAGCAATATCCCCAGATATGAATATCTCCACTGAAGAAACTTTTGTGAGCCTTTTGCTAAAGGCAGAACAAGTTTCTTTCTTGCATAGTTTCTTCCATTTTTAGTAAAATTTTCTCTTTAATTATGTACTTTTGCAGCTCTTGCAGCTTGGACAAATTCAACCATCTGCAGCAAAAGCAGAAAAGAATAAATTGCTCCCTACAAAACCTGCAGCTTATTCTTGATATTTACATCAACACAGAGAACAAATGGAGTCAAGTCCCATAGTCAAAGTTCTCCTGTAGAAGAATTAGCCACACAGTAAGGTCTGTGATGTACAGGCCTACAGAAAAGGAGGATTACTATAGGAAATTTTTACTTACATTTAAGGAACCAAATTCTTCCCCCCTCTTGTTTTTCTATTTGATGCTTATAAACCTTAAAGTCTTAGAGGCATAACTTACTGAGTAAGAATGAACATGTGCACAACTATGCGAACGGGCAGTTACATAAAAAATATAGTTTAAAAATCTTCTAGCAGACTTGGAAAATTCCTAATCTTTGAATAAAGCTGGATCACTTTTATTCCTGTTGGAAAGCTTTCCTAAGTTACAAATCAGTCCGTCAATCAATCAATCAATCAATCAGCAATGCCTACAAGTTTCTACACTGGCACCATCACCCCATTCTTCCTGAAAATTGTTTTCTTTTTCTTCTTTCCAAAATTATTTAGCTGAACTTCTTTGTTTAAACTTCTCATGCTTGCTTTGAAAAGGACTTTTATCAAAAGTGTTGTGAATATCTGATAGCCTATGCACTGCCTATGCAGTGACATTTTACCACATTGTAACTCACTCTGAACAATTCCAATATATTTTAGAGCATAGATTTGCTATTCTAAAAGCCTTCTTGGCTTCTCCCTGTCATATTATATTTATCTATTCTATAAGTATTTATCATATAATTTTTTTTATGCATTTTTAATTGATTTCCCTTTGCCAAGTGCCAGTCTTCAGGCTATATGTCTGTCACAAAGCACAGGTAAAAGGCACACATATTTTTAAAGACAACCTCTGCTCTGGTAGCCAATAAAATAATATATGCCACTTTGCTTTCTTTCAGTGTTAGCATCGTATCACTAAGAGTTTTTCTGCATACTGTGAGTATGTTGGTATTGAATTTTCTGAAGCAGAGGAAAAACTTTCAATGCTTCAAACAAGAGGCCCTTTGGGAAAGATCACTGCTATTCCCAGACTTTCTGACATGACACAAGTGGTAACACGCAATGGGGGGACACGCTGGGCTAAGATACAGGAATACCTCAAGGTGCTGACAAAGTATGACTTCAAATTCAGAGTTTCAGACACACAAAGTGGCTTCCACTAAACAATGAACGTTTTGGGTTTGTTTCTTTGGTATTTGCATTTTACCGTTTGCCTGAAGAGGAGCCATTCCTTTCCATTCCAGTGATCTATCAAACATCATTAAAGAAGAAGGTTCAGTACAGAGGAAGAAGTAGGAAAGAGACAGGTATTATAGGGTAGAGCTGAAAGTTGGAAGATGGTTATAAGTTTCTAGAAAATTTGTATACTGATAGAAATATATCTAAATACCCAAGATACTAACCAAGATCCATTGAAAAGACACTGCAGTTATACACGTTCCTGATCATATAGGTGGATGTCCAAATAAAAAACAGCTTCTGAGAGAAAAAGCTCTAAATGATCTCACTGAGAATTTCTTCTTGCTCATGTTTCTGCTCTCCCGTCAGTCTACAGATACACCATGATATATATAAATATACCATGATAGCAAAAACAAACAAAAAACCCACACCTAAACAAACAAAAAACCCCACAAAAAATAGCCAAACAAAAACCCCCCAATGAAACAAAAACCCAAACAAACAAAAAAAAAAAAAACACAAAAAAACAAACCAAACAAAAAACCCCAAATACACACACAAAAAAAAAAATTGTTTTCCAGTACCATAACTTACTCAGAAAGTTCCTACCCCTCAGATTAATTTTAAATGAACAATCACTGCTACTTAAATGTCAGAGTATGTAGGAAGGGACAAGGCTGTTTTTCACAGTTCCAAAACTGACTGATAAGAGAGGAGAGAAACAGGCTGAGGCAGCTCTTTGGTTGACGTTCCTTCAGCTGCACAAGAATTAACACCAAAACTGTGATTCTAAGAATTCCACATAAGTTAGATTTACTGTGAGCCTACCATAATAAACCCTAGAGAAAGCAGTTCATGAAACCAGCAAACATAACAAAACCACAGTGACAATTGATCCAGCTATTGCTACAGATCACC